ACACTATGCTCAGCAATTTGCACACATATAATATGTCTGTATTTGTCAGTGTGGCTTTTGAGTGTATCTTCGCCATATTCAGGTGAGTATATGCTCATGAACGAGTGGACATACTTTCTCCATACATACATGTATGGGTGTGCATGTGTGCGTGCGCATGCCTCTCGCTCTGGCTGGGGGTGGGTTGTTTTAAACGATCACGTACATTCGTCAATCTCTGAATAACGCAATCGACTCCGATCACACCCATTTAACCTATTTAGTACGTTCAATTGGGACCTGGATTTCAGGCTCAGTGTCTCCTCGATGGTTGGGTTCAGTGGGTGATAGGTGTTGGCACTGCCCCAGCTGACGTCAGGCCTTGTCACTACACCCCCAATCGATTGAGTGACCCATTCTATTTTATCTCGTTTTATTACAAATGGCTCTCCATATCCTCATACACCCATCCCAAGACCCCAAGTCCGTTCGTTTACCCCTTATGCACCTGCCCACAAACCCCCACCCAGAGCATGTCCAACTGGGAACTGGAGCGCAGACGGAGTTTCTCGTCCATGCTGGGCACCGTGGAGAAGAACATGGGCGCCAGCAGTCCCCTGGGCTTTGACGATGGTGATCAGGGTAGTCTGACTAGCACGGGAAGTAGGTTTAACCTGGGGCCTCATACGGACCATCTGTCCACTACCAGCAGCCAGGTATACTATCGCATGCGTGTATTGGATATGTTATTCCGGGTGTGGCCGTGTCTGTCGCGTAGGCGTGTTGCTGTGTCCGTCGAGTATGTTGGCACTCTATAACTATATGCATGAAAAGATATGTAGATATGTATATAGGGTGCAATCTAGAATATGGGTGGTAGGGTGGCACGGTAGTGATCGGGGACGTCTGGCCAGTGGGGTAGCCGGTCTTCTTTAGGGCCTAATTTGTACCATTTTTTTTGCTACTAGCGGACAGGTATGTAAACGCATCCGTCTGATCCGTGTGGTCCGTACAAAGAGTGCAGACCTATATATTACGCATAAATTGACTTGCATAATGGAAGATAAAGATGTAGCTTAAGACTACATGCGTACATACATACAAGCACACACACACACACACACACACACACACACACACACACACACA